AAACTTAAATTTTGACAAAATTAGCTTATTCCTATCAGTCACCTTTTGCTCCTCTTGTTTGCAGTAGACATCATAGGGGACTTGTACTTTAATTTTAGAAAATGACCCCAGCTCACACCATACCACTCAACAGGCCCTCTGTTCAGGCCCAATGAACATTTCCAAGCATAGCCAGTTTGCTCTTACAACTACTTGCTATACAAACCTAGTCAATGCATCCTCTTTCATCTGCCAATTAGAGAGGCAGAGAACCAACACTTTGTCAAAGAACAGCTCACTTAGATATCTGCATGCAAGTTCTTTTATGCACGAGGGAGACTGTTATTACACTGTTGTCAACACACAGAAGTAAAACCAGGATTTATAAAAGAGATGGGAAAGGAGGAAAACATAGAGTTTGGGAAAATTAAGGGTTTTTCTTGATTATGCTGATTAGCTGGAGGGCATTACAGAGGCAAAGTATGGAAGGTCGGGGGAGTGGGCTGACTGAGTCATCAAGGAAAACGATTTTAGATATTTGTGAATTTTCTGAAAGCCTTTGGAGTTTGGCTTTGAAGCGTGTATGGCAAGCTGTCTAGTGCCTTCTGTATGCTGTTCGCACCCCCCACTTTGGGGAAGCCAGGTCAGGACCATTAACTTCTCTCAGCAGAATTTCTCTTCTCCCTTTTGGACAAAATTATCTCGTAAAGGAATGGATTCACACATGAGGATTTCATTTCTTTTTTGAGAAAAGATCATCAAATGGATATTAACTTGGGATAATGACCATTTAACAGTTAACCATTCAGATATTTAACGGTGTCAGAAGGCAACAACTCTGAGGACAGCCACAAATCCCTAACAAACATTTGGGCACCTGGTTTTTAGCCAGGTTTTATTTATGCACTTACACCTTATGTGGTAAGTATGAGAAGACCATTTGACTACATAAGAGTAGTTTACACTGTGCATCTTGAGGAACTGAAAAGTAAACATAACAAATTCCTGTCTAAATTTAATTGATCTAACTACAGAGGACAAATACACTGGGTGTAGATAAATCATAAAACATAATCATATGAGAAAATAATTGGGCTATCAGGTTTCTGTCTTTCTTGAGGTTCCTTGAGTTCATCTAGAGGCTTTAGTATGCTAATCAAAAAAATTTGACCCCTGTGTGTTAGAGATTTTGTTCCTGTCTATTTTAGGATATTGTCTTTTATTAAAATCAAAAGTTCCTATAGAGACCTACTGTATATTTTCATCATTTCTGATACAGGAATTGTACTTTTCAGATATTGACAACTAAAGGGTAAACATGAAAAAAATCCACAGGTTTAGAGGGAGGAAGAAGGCTTCGATACTTAGAATTACAGGAACTCATGTTGGTATACATACAAAGCAAATATACACAATAAATTCTATCTCTGATCATAAGGACATGCTACTGATGTCTCAAACTTACAATGATAAATACCAGGAAATACCAGAATCTTCAAGACAGACAGAAATAAACAAAATTAGCAAATTCACTTTTCCTGTTGTCTGCCACCTGCCACAGATTGGGTCCCACCTGGTAGAAATCCCTGCCAATGGTCAGACAACCAAAATCCCACATCACTGACACCAGAGGGGAAAAATAGTCACTAAATGCACATCTGAAAAACGACTTGGCTTGTAAGAGCCAATCACTAACTGCAGCACTCACTAGAGGAGCCAGAGAAGGTGAACTGTGGACAAAAGGGATCTAGGCTGGGACAAGGTGCACCTACAGGCGACTTGTTTCTCTTGGGGTAGGACTCAGGTGAGGAAAACCTTGATAAAATTCTCTGGGTAGTTGTGGAGCTCTCTTTGTCCTGAGTCCTGCCTCCTGCTTTCTATTTTCTTGGGGGATTTCATTCAGCCCTTCTGCCACTGCTTTCCATGGCAATCCCAAGAATGATGGGGGCTGCCTCACTCTCTGCGAAGGTCGGAATTACATTGGAGGGCCTCCTGTCAGCTCTTTTTAAGTCTTCCGCAGGTGAAAGCTCAGAGTGCCTAGGGGTTTTCTCTCAGCTCTCCTGACTGCTCCCTCCCGCTTCGTAGTACTGCAGTACTAATTTCAGCAGCAGTTGGTGAAGACCAGTGTGGCAAAGAGTTGGGGATGGTGCAGTCTGACTACTTCTGAGGCTCTTCTAGATTCTGTTAGGCCAGCCCCACACATGGCCTGGAAAGTTGTTAGCACTGGTGAAGGCTAGATAACCTTTTTCAATTAAAGTAATTGATTGATTGATTGATTGATTTTCAAAGAACACTTGCTTTACTAGGGGAAGTGGGTAACAAGGAGTTCTTGTCTAATGGTTACTGAGTTTCAGTTTTGCAAGATGAGAAAGTTCTGGAAAGTGGTCATACAATGGAGAGAGTATATTTAGCACTACTGAACTGTACACTTAGAAATGGTGTATCCCTGGCTGGTGTAGCTCAGTGGATTGAATGCAGGCCTGCAAACCAAAGAATCATGGTTCGATTCCTAGTCAGGGCACATGCCTGGGTTGCAGGCCAGTTCACAGATGGGAACCCACGAGAGGCGACCATACATTGATACATTGATCTCCGTCTCTCCTCTCTCCTTCCCTTCCCTTCTAAAGAAATAAAATCTTAAAAAAAAAGAAATGGTATAAATTTTACATCATGTTTTTACCACGATACAAAAAAATTGCTTTAAAATATTAATACATAAATAATACCTGATAATTATGAAAAACCCCAGAAAATACAGACAAGCAAAAAGGAAATTAAAAATTACCTACAATTCTACAGCTAAGGTTAATGTTTTGTGCATAAATATATAAATTGTACGTGTGTAGGTTCACACTGAATATTGCTATTTCTTTTTTTTTATTTATTTTTTTAAATTGATTATGCTGTTACAGTTGTTCTATTCCCCCCTTCATTCCCCTCCACCCTACCCCCCGTCCCCACCATTACCCCCCTTTAGTTTATGTCCATGTGTCTCAAGTCCTTTAGGTTCTATATTTCCCATGCTATTCTTGCCCCCCCATCTATTTTCTATCTACTGTCTATGCTACTTATTTTCTGTACCTTCTCCCCTCTTCTCCTCCTCCCACTCCCCTGTTGCTAACCCTCCTTGAGATCTTCATTTCATCAGGATCTTCATTCCTGATCTAGCTGTCCTTTTAGTTTGCTTTCGTTTTAGGTGTGGTTGTTAATAACTGTGAGCTTGTTGTCCTTTCACTGTTCATGTTTCTTTAACTTCTTTTTCTTAGATAAGTCCCTTTAACATTTCATATAATAAGGGCTTGGTGATGATGAACTCCTTGAATTTGATCTTATCTGAGAAGCACTTTATCTGTCCTTCCATTCTAAATGAAAGTTTTGCTGGATAGAGCAATCTTGGTTGTAGGTCTTTAGATTTCATGACTTGGAATATTTCTTTCCAGCCCCTTCTTGCCTGTAAGGTCTCTTTTGAGAAATCCGTTGACAGTCTGATGGGGACTCCTTTGTAGGTGATTGTCCCCTTAGCTCTTGCTGCTTCTAGGATTCTCTCCTTCATTTTAATTTTGGCTAATGTAATTATGATGTGCCTTGGTGTGTTTCTTCTTGAGTCCAACTTTTTTGGTACTCTCTGAGCTTCTTGGATTTCTTGGAAGTCTATTTCCTTTGCCAGATTGGGGAAATTTTCTTTTATTATTTGTTCAAATAAGTTTTCCACTGGTGGCTGTGCCTTTCCCCCTTCTGGTACCCCTATAATTCGGATATTGGAGCGTTTAAAGATGTCCTGGAGGTTCCTAAGACTCTCCTCATTTCTTTGAATTCTTGCTCCTTGACTCTTTTCTGTTTGGCCATTATTTGCTTTCTTCTGGTCCACTCCATTGATTTGAGTCCCAGTTTCCTTTTCATCGCTATGGGTTTCCTGTGGAATTCCATTCATTTCCATTAGTTTAGCCTTCATATGTTTCTCTAATTTGTGGCTATAATCAACCAGATCTGTGAGGAAGCTGATGACCAGTGTTTTAAACTGTGCGTCTGAGAGTTTTGCTATTTCTTCATCGCTTAGATTTATCTCTGGGGCTTTGAGGTCTTCCTGCGACATTTTTGGTCTGTTCTGGCCCTTTAAGTGGGAGAAGCGGCGCCTTGGACTCCCAGGTCGCTGGGTTGTGACGCTTATGTGGGGGCGTGGTCAGAGCGAGGGAAATGGCGGCGCCCTCTAGCTCAGCTGCGGCTGGTCCAAGGTCCAACCGCCCACTCCCTCGCCTGTCCGCTCGCGCGCAGATAGACGACCGCAGTCAACACGCAGCACCGCCTCCCCACTGTCTCCTCTGCAGTCGCTCACCTGGTGGGTTGCTCGGTCACTCACTAGGTCCAATCCTGCGTTTGGAACCCGTGCGTCTGGATTCGCGAGTCTGGATTCCGCGCCTGGGTCCGACCGACCGAGTCCTCCTGTGCAACCCCTCAGCAGACGCCGGTTTCGCCCCTTACCGGTCGGGCTGAAGAATTTGTTGTTAACGGACTTCCGAAAAGTTCAATTTTCCGTGTTCTGGTTGTGTTTTCTGATGCTAATATTTAGTTGTCCCTAAACTTGGTTGTGTGAGAAGGCACGGCACATCCACCTATACCTCCATCTTGGCGGAAGTCTGAATATTGCTATTTCATAACCTCAGTTTTGCAAAGTTTACACTGCTTTCAACCCTATTTTAAGTTCCGTGTTCTAGGATATTTCCCATGTCTGTGAACACCAAGGCCTTAAACAGAGGTGAAACTGCACGTTCAGGGGTACACACCCCTCCATGGAGGCTTCTCCCTTTAGATCATGTGTCCTCAGCAGAAGGAAAGGCTTCTCCAACCCTGACCTGACAGTCAGCTCTGCTGTCAACTTTCAGTTGTTCCTTTCAGATATGTCCACACCCAGACAGGCTCCTGGTCCTTGGGGACCTGGTGAATGGACTTGTTCTGACTATCCTCAGTCACATGTCTATCCACTGGGATCATGTAAACACACCTTTCAGCAAGGTTAACAATTAAATTGTTGAGATGAAAGGTCAGGAGACCTGCCTGGAATTGAACATCAGAATGGGAGATAACACATCGCTAGTCACCTTCCAACTTCTCTGAGGAAAGGAGTCACTAAGGAACAACAGTCACACAGGAGTCTGCATTTTAGGAGACCTCCAGGAATCATGCTGGAGAAGTTCTGCAACTCTACTTTTTGGGTGAGAAATTACACTTATCTTCTTCTCAGGCTCAGAACGAGTAGTAGATTAGCCTAGAGCAGCCACTAATAAGAACTAGAGAAGTTATATATGCTGTTGCTCTAAAGCAACTCTCTCTCTCTCTCTCTCTTCGTGGTAAAGCTCAGGGTATTTTTAAAATAAAAGAATGTCATAATATCTCCAGAAGACATTCTATATGGGAGAAGTAATGTATTTATTTTATAACATATATTTATTGTATCCTGACTCTCTTCTTGGACAAGCTATCTACAAAATTGCCTCTCTAAAAAGAAATAGGGGGGTGGCTTCCAATTTCATCCATGTTAGGAGTGAGAACTGAGTAATTTGTGGGGTAGAAGAAAGAAGAGAAGGTCCGTGATTGAGCCCTGCTGAGATATGTTAGTGCTGAAGTGGTAATGATTTGTTCTAGAGGAGCTGGCAATCAGTGATATGGACTGGAAGGTGAGTCCAGGGATGCACATGTGAGCATCATGAGCACTGAGACAAAATCAAATGGTTTATTGGGAGAGAATAAGAAGGGACCTTGCATTTAGTGATCTTGTAAAAGTGTGGTCTACAAACTCAGCATCAGCATCAGAATTACGCAGATTGTTAAATAGTTTAAATATCGTAGGTAAGAAGTCTTAATTCTGAAGTTGGATAACCTCACGGAGAGTTAAGAAGAGCAGGAATGAGAAAGCAGAGCACATGGGCAGCACTTCCCAATCTTAGAAAGACCCTGGGCCCCAAGGCCCTCAGAGCCAGGAAATGTGTACCCCAGGAAGATAGAGCTTAACAGGCCAACCCTTGAGAATTTTCTGAGAATTACCTGGCAGATCATTTTGATCAGAGCACCTCAACCTTTTCTTTAAAGAGTCTGTCCAAACAGTCATACAAAAACAATTAAAAAATATTTATTAGGAGAAAATAATCTACCCTCACATGACTCAGATATAAAAACTAGTGCCCCCACCTCAACTCACAAGGCCCTTCTTTTTATTGCAGAATGCAGACTAGTAAAGAACCTGCTAGGAATAACCTTTTGTCCATTAACGTCATTGCCGCTTCTGTGCTGAAGGCCCCCTTGGGTTCTGACATAAGCCCTTGGGAGTCTAAATGTCGTAGTATGACTAAGCATGCCTCCTGCCCTCTTATTTATCCTCACCGGAGGATATGTTTATTGATTTGAGAGAGAGAGAGAGAGGAAGAAGGGGGGGAGAGAGAATGAGAGAGGGAGGGGGGGAGGGAGAGAGAGAGAGAGAAATGTGGATGTGAGAGAGAAACGTGCCCTGACCAGGGATCAAACCCACAACATTTTGGCAGGCGGGGTGATGCTCCAATCAACTGAGCCACCTGGCCAGGGCTGCCTGTATGTCTGAATGTCTGCCAGCAAGTTCATTCAATGCTAAAAACTAGAATAAGACGTTTTTACATCCCAAGGAACTATTCTCCTCTTTGAATTGGGGAACTCTCCCTCTTCTTCCCACAACTTGGCAAACACAGTGGTGAAGTTAAGTCAGAACAACTGGTGGGGAAATTTGCTTAGAATCACAGGAAGAAAAGGTCTTTAGAGGTTGAATTGGTCAAGAAGTCACTAGATGTCATTAAATGATCAATTTACATCAATGGAAATGAATAGAAAAATATAGCTAACTAAAGGGCCAGGCTGGATATAGATACAGAACTGAGTTAAAATTGTTTTGAAATGTGTTGGGTGTGGAGGGTATGGGCTATGGCTGGTCTTCTGTCTTCAAAAACTTGTAACCAACAATCATCACATTTTGCTCCCCCAGAATTCCTCATTGCTGGATAGCCCGGAGGCGGACCTGCCGATTTGTTTTGAGCAAACGGTTCTGGTTTGGATTCCCTTGGGCTTCCTTTGGCTCCTGGCCCCTTGGCAGCTTCTCCATGTGTACAGATCCAGGACCAAGAAATCTTCTGTAACCAAGCTCTACCTTGCCAAGCAGGTATGGAAACCCCACTGTTTTCTGACTGATTCCTTGGTGCACCATAGAGACATCTTCCTGGTGGTGAAAGTGTCTTCTCCGTCTTTAACCGGCTTTTCCAGGGGCTGTGGTCTCAGGCAGAGCCAGGTTCTGAGTGTCCCTCCTCCGCCTGCCCTATGCTTCTGTGCTCCCTTGCTATATTTCCTACTTAAGGTGACTTTGATTTTTGCAAAAGAATAATGACTCAGAAATCTTATGGGTAGTGGACACCCTCAACACCAGTAATGGGTTCTCAATCCATCAAATACATAAGTATTAACCTTTCAGTATTTGAGAAGCTAACACTGGTTTCCCTATCTCTAAGCTGTTTCAATATATCAGGAGACTGTAAATCAGTTGGCACCGGCCATGAGGTGAAAATGAACTATGTAGTGTGCCCTCTTCACTGTTGAGGTGATCCAACCATCACGGTTCGCCTCTCTGAACTTGGGTCTGAAATGCGGCTTTCGTTCTCCCACAGTCTTCCATAAGTCTAGATGATCATTCACAGTAGAGGGAGGAAGGGTTTGTGCTCCCAGTGATGTGCCTCAGGAAGGAAACAATGGAAAGAGCAGGGCCCCCAGGAGAGAGCCCAGGAGGAATGAGGGGAGGAGCCCCTCAGCCGGCTGTACTTGTTCATGTAGAGTCTTGTGGGAAATGAAAGACCCTCATTTGAAGTTGCTACCTCAGAAGGTTAACCACCTGCTTGTTTTCACTAGGTCCCCTCCACTGCCCCCACCCATCTGATCTTTACACAGGGTTTTAGAAAGGAAAGTTAGACTCGGATTTCTGTGAGCATACACATCAATGACCTCAGGCTACCTGCACTTAGAAGGGAACTTGCCCAAAGGAAGTGGGATTTGCATCAACACAGTGAGATGGGGCTGGTGGGGGTTTTGTAGGGCTCTGAATGGGGAGAGAACTCTGTCTGAGAGCTGGGGGCACGGTCATTGTCTGCCCTGTTGACCTGAGTGCACAGCACAGGGTCTAGCACTTAGTAGGCACTGTTGAATATTGGTATTACATGCACTCTAGAAATAGGTGTTGAGACAAGAATGTTTTAGACTCTGAACATTGAGCTTGGGAATGAGTCAGAGCTTTTTGTCAGAGTCACTGTGTGAGTCAGGGAGCATCCTAAAAGGAGTCACTCAGACATATTTGTGTCTTTCCACAGTGCCGGGTTTATTAGGTGAGACATCCCTAATAAGCCAATAAAGTCAGATGAAGATTGCACACAGAGAGGGGGAGCTTATGAGTTAGATGTGAGCAGAATGCCCACCTAGCCCCTGTCACTGGTGGTGTCTGCAGGTGGAGAGGTAGGCATCTGTTTCAAGCCAAGTGGCTGCAATGGCAACACGTCTGGTGAAGTTGAAGTCTGGTGGGGCTCCAGGCAGGACCCATGGCACAGCCAAGTTTGATTGTTAGTGGGGTGGTGGGAGCTCTGAGTTCTTATAGCCACTACAGGTGGAGGTCCCACTCATATCACTGTGCAGATGGGGTCCTTACCCAACTGTCCCGACTTGTGGTTTGGGCATTCTGGGCCCCTGCTAAGGATGTTCCTGTTATACCCCATTACTTCAGTTTTGACATTGCACTTGACACAACTGTCATGGCTGACTGTGACTCCGTACTGGACTGTTGAACATGTCTAAAAGGTACACCCTCTTCTTCTCCCATACAGTCAGTCAAGTCTGCAGTGTCCAGGAAAAGCCTGGGTAATGAGTAGATCAGTGTCCCACCATAATCACTGCTATTAGTTAACTTCTAAAAAACAATTTTCTTGAAATGTAATTCATGTTACCATACAATTCTCCCATTTAAAAACTATTCTATTTTTTTAAGTTTATTTACAGATAGAAGCAACCATCACCCAGTCAATTTTAGAACACTTTCATTCCCTCATTAAGAAACCCCTATCTCCTCATCCCCCTTAGCTCTGCATAACCATTAATCTACTTTCTGTCTCTATAGTTTCCCTGGCCTAGATTTTTCATACGAGTGGAATCATATGTGGTCTTTTATGATAGGCTTCTTTCACTTAGCATAAGGCTTTCAAGGTTCATCTATATTGTAATATTTATCAGGACTTCATTCATTCTTTTTTAAAAATATTTTATGTATTTATTTTTAGAGAGAGGGGAAGGGAGGGAGAAGGAGAGGGACAGAAACATTGATGTAGGAGACAAACATTGATCAGTTGCCTCTTCTATGTGCCCTGACCAGAGATGAACCTGCAACCCAGGCATGTGCCCCTGACCAGATACAGAACCAGCCACCTTACACTTTGCAGGATGATGCCCAACCAACTGAGCCACACTGGTCAGGGCTCCTTTGTGCTTTTTTAAAAAATCCTCACCTAAGGACATGTTTATTGATTTTAGAGAGAGGGGGAAGGGAGAGAGAGAAACATCGCTGTGAGAGAGAGACATTGATTGGTTGCCTCCCACATGCACCCCAACCAGAAATGGAACCTAGGTATGGTCCTGACCTGGGATTGGACACATAATCTTTTGCTGTAATGGGACAACTGAGTCATCTGGCCGGGGCAGTACTTCATTCCTTTTTATGGCTGGATAATAGTCCACTGTATAAACATATCACATTTTGTTTAACTTTCATAAACAAAAATCTCTATGGAAAAAAAGAAAAGCAATGTATTAGTTTTTCCTTTTTTTCCATAGAGAATAATCCACTCACCCTTGCTCAAACTCTCAGGAGCTCCATTCATAATTTATATACTTTACTTTTTTGCCCTCTACCATGAGAGTGACAAACACAGATTAGCTTTCTCTTAAAAAAATAATAAAAATAGTCTCTTTTCTGAAAAAGTCAGAAGTATAATTCCCCACAAAACAAAACTACATCTTTCCACAAGAACCTTCTTCTTAACTCCTCAACCTGATTGTGTTTTTTTTTATTTCTCTGCTTCCTCTTCTCCCTGCCTGTGTGCTGTTTGCTCCTCTCACTCTCCTCAACAGTTGTTACTGCCAGTCTTGTTCAGTTACTAATGCAGCATTCCCCTCATCTGAACTTGGTGCATTTGCTTGACCAAGCTGGTGAGAGACTCTGCAAATTTATTTGTTTAAAGGTGCATCCTGACCTGGCCAGTGTGGCCCAGTCTGCTGGAGCGTCATCCAGTAACTGAAAAGCTGTGGGTTCTATTTCCGGTCCGGGCACATGTGGGAGTTTCTTCTCACATGGATGTTCTGTCTCTCTCCCTTTCCCTCTCTCTGAATTAAAAAAAAAAAAAAGTGCATCCCTACTGAAAGGACCTGATGTACAGTAGATAACTGAATGTATTGAATTACAAAATGAATGAATGAATAAATGAACGAATTAGTGGATGAGCTCATAGTCTAGGGGAACAGAAGAGGAATCTGGTTCTGGAGGATGTGGAAGTGCTGAGGTGTGAGAAAAATGTGCAGCACAAATGAACATGATGTATAGCCAGTGAGATGTGGAAATTACCTCAAATATTTGCAGAAGTATAACATAGAAGATTGCCTAACTAGTTCTGAAAAGTTTCACAGAGCAAGATCAAGGTAAATGGGTGGAGGTTGTTCTAGGGGGGTGGGCTTTGGCTAATATACAAAAGAATTTTCTAATAATAATAACTGACAATAGAATGGACTGTTGGGGATCCCTGAAACATTTGTCTGCCAGGGAAGTGGTGGAAGCTGACGCTCTGCAATGGATGGAAGAGTCAACCAGAGTGCCTTGTCACTCAGAAAGTGCAGGTGAAGGGAGGACTGTGAAGAGATGGAGTGGTATTAAATATGGCCAAACCACTCCTTTCTTTTTAAAAAAATTTTCTTTCTTTCTTTTTACTTTTATTCTTAGAGAGAGGGGAAGGGAAGGAGAGAGGGAGAGAAACATCAATGTGTGGTTGCCTCTCACATGCCCCCACTGGAGACCCGGCCCACAACCCAGGCATATTCTCTGATTGGGAATCAAAACGTGACCCTTTGGTTCACAACCTGAGCTCAATCCACTGAGTTATACCAGCCAGGGCTCCTTTCTTTTTTAATACCAGTGTGATTCTATCTCCTTAGGAAGTTGAGTTTAGTAAACAACATGGGCGCTTGAAACTCTTCCAATAAATCAGAGATTAAGGGCAAACACTGTTAAGAACTTGATAATCTTTAACCACAAGATACCCCTGATCCTATGTAAATAAAGTGTGTATATGTTTCTAATTATAAAAATAATGTCTGGTTATTGTAGACAGTTCGGGAAATAGGAAGAAAATTAAATTATTGATAATTGTGTTACTCTGATATACTCTTGTTGACATTTTGGTATGTACCCTTCTATTCTCATAAAAAAAGAAAAAGTCTCTCACCCTAGCACCTCCCAAGTCCCATTGTCCAGACTGCCATTTAAAATTATTTTGATGGCTACCTCCACATTTGCAAATAATGTATTTATACCTGTATTTCTTGATCTATCGATTTTAAAAATCTATTGCTGCTTTCATCGACCCATCTCCGAGCTTCCTTTCTCTCTCTTCCTCTCACTCTTGGTCTTTCAATTCTCTACAATCATGTTCCGTCCTTCTGGTGGTTGCCTTTACACCTAAAACTAGTCTGCCATCAATTATAGACTCTACATCCTGATGCCTCTTTGTGTAAAATAATAGAATCAGTGCCCTCACATTTCTTGGATCTGGAGAACATCCTTCACTAAAAATTTCAGGAAGCACAACAGTGAAGAAAGTTTCCAAGGATTGATTCACTTTCTGAAAATGTTCATCTGAATGTGAAATGCTAGCCTCAAAAAACAAATTATATATATATATATATATATAATATATTTAATATTTATTAAAATATATATATATTTAATCTCTGAAGATGTTACTATATTGTTCCCCAGAATTCTGAGCTACCGAACTAGGATTTTTCTCATTCCTTGTTATCCTCTCTAGAAACTTTTATTCTACTTATTCTTGATGTCCTGAAATTTTACAGTCTGTTTGCATG